CCAGGTATGCGGAAATATCTTGATCTTCAGATGAATGGTCATGATGCACGTCTGCAGCTAGATACTGCCTCTGATATTACTGTTATATCAGAGAAACTTTGGAATTATATTGGCAGACCACCTATCACCAATACTTCCCAGTCTCTTCTCAGCGCCTGTGGTGGGCGGCTCAAACTAATTGGTGAACTCAAATGTTCTGTTTCCTTCCGCAATACCAAATTCACAGGAATTTGTTACGTCACGAAGAATGATTTAAATGTTTTGGGACTTGATTGGTTCGATCGTTTGCATCTGGCTGATGTCCCACTAAATTCTCTACGCAATACAGTGAAGAAGCATAAAATGCTAGACAATTCCGGACGGAGCCGAAGCCGCAAACCCAACAATCAGACGAAACGACAGGCGTCAACAACAAGCCCAAAGGTCCCAGATAAACCCCCAGGTAAACATCCTACTAATCATCCATCTTCTCAAAAGGGGAGGTGATATGTATCCACATATATATATTTATGTGTGTGTGTGCATGTTGGTCTCTCTTTCTGTTTGCTCGGTTAGTCTGTGACCACTTCACTTGTATGAACTTGTCTCCTTTAATAATGTGTATTCTCCTTATATTATATTATATATAATATGAGTGTTTGTTGACAGTCCGTTGCTTGGTGACATATATCCATATATGTTTGTTGGCATGTCTGCTATATTCGCTATGTATAATTGGATCGACACTCCATTATAATTAGCCATTCATGTTAAGACTGTCTAATGATTTTTCCCACGCTTGTCTGAATTATTTATATATATTCGCATTCACAATTTGTGTGAACTACTTTACTTTACAACTACTTTACTTACTTACCACTTTGGTGTGAGACCATTTATTTTCGTCTCCTTGTGTTTGGACAATAGAAGTATCATCGCAAACCTAGTGGTCTTCTGATTTCCGCCTTCTCGCGTCAGGACTATTAGTTTCTCGACCAGTCCATAACAATAATTCAGCGACGAGTACATAACAATTTGGCGACGGGGAAAACTAGAACATAACAGCTTCCCAGGTTGGTCGGTAGGTAAAGGAGGTTGCTTCTTTCAGGTTCCTCACATTATGCTGGCTGATTGTTGTTGCAATTAACCAGGAATCATCACTTACCTCTGTTCTCTGTATGTTCACCAGAAGGAAGTCCTATCTTTGATGCTTCTTCTTCCAACTTGTTGCTTTTTACTTGCATATCTTCCAGTTTATGGGAAAGGACGAATGCAAAGGCCTAAAATCGAACTAGCCGAAATGCGAGTCTAACTAGGGGACTGGGAAAACTCTGGATTCCATAATCCGGGAGAACTGAATGCTGAGTGAACCTGTTCTAGTCACGACAAACCATTAGAATGTAGCTCCAGAGATACTGCTTGCACTGCCTTCTATGTCAGGATTAGACTTCAAGTCAAAGGATCGGGTTGGGGTGACCCTTTAAAACAACCACCTAATCTCTAGGTAGGGGTGCCCATAATCTACCAAGTTTGAGTTTTAATAGCAACAATGGTAACCCCGTTGTTACTGTAGCTTCCAAACTTGATGAAGTCATATGGTACCTCCCAGAACGTAAAGAATTAAAAATAAAACTGAGTTGGGTCACAACCTTGTAGTCCTGCTTCTATCAAATTCTTTTGGCCAAGGACAACTTATCAGCTTTCAACTTACTCATCAAATATGCTTAGATTCAGATTATAAGGATAGAAAGCTCTTATTACCTATGTTAATCCTCCTTACGATATATATCTCTGCAGAGATCCAGTTTCTCCTTGAAAGCGTTCACCGATGGAGTTGTTACTACTGAATCAGGTAAGGAGTTCCAGTCGTTGACCACTCCTGTGAGAGAATCTAAACTCCACACGTATTTTATTCTACTTCGGTTCGAAAACCTTCTTGTGGTGATCTCGTAAATGTATCCTAGAGGGAGAGAAAAGGTTTGAAAAGTCAACCCCTAAATCACCCTTTAATATATTGTATGCCAAAATTAAGTCGCCTCTCCTCCTTCGGTATGATGATGGGAAGAGGTTGAAATGCTCCATCCTCATATCACATAAGGAAGATGTGAAATACCACTAACTAATTTCGTTCCTACCCTCTGTACTCTTTCCAGGATAGGTGCCTCCTTTTTGAAGCATGGACTCGCCGCTTGTATGCAGTACTCTAGATGAGGTCTGATATATGTTTGTTATGTACTCGTCGCCAAATTATTGTTATGTACTGGTCGAGAATTTAATAGTCCTGACGCAAGGAAGACGGAAATCAGAAGACCACTGGGTTTGCGATGATACTTCTATTTTTCAAACCACAAGGAGAATCAATGTCACACAAGAGTGTGAGAGCAAAAATATATATGAATGTCCGAACAAGTGTGTGAGCGAATATTCAAAATGAACAAATCAATAGACAGTCTTAACATGATTGGCTAATTATAATGGAATATTGATCCATATATACATAGCAAGATATAACAGATATGTCAAACAAACACACATATTATATATAATATAAGGGGAATATACATTGTTAAAGGAGACAGGTTCATCAAAGTGAAATGCTCACAGACTAAGAGAGCAACAGAAAGAGAGACCACCATATATATATATATATATGGATACATATCAATGTTGCATGTTGAGAACTTGGAACATACCCTCGTCTAATCGTTTGAAAGCCCTTCAAAATGTCCATAGCATTCGAAAAGTCTTAACTGCGGCTCGATTACAATTCGCCGTTGTTTCTAAGTGATAGTCTACAATAATCCTCCCTAAGTCCTTTTGTCGCCTAACTTCTGGCAGTTATGTCCCCCCCATGGAGTACGACGTGTAAGACTTCTGACCTAGGTGCATTATCGCGCTTTTCTTGGAATTAATTTCCCGACTCCAAAGGTTAGCCTATTCGGTTAATTTATCTAGATGATCGTTTTGTAGTACCAACCTACCATCGTTACAGCTTTCGGTTTTCCATAGCTTAATATCGTCCGCAAATAGTAAGGAAGATGAGGTAAGAATTTTCGGCACTTCATTTACGTATAATAAGAATAGCAAGGGGCTCAATTAATATCAGAATAAAACTTGTGCACTGTGGTCGATTGTAATTCCATTATGGGTAAATTTTATTTTGATAAAGTCTCACAATGTTATACAATAATGTTTACTGATGACCACGTTTCGAGTACAATTTATTACTACTCATAATCATATCAAGTCACTACTCACACGACATCCTAACTTCATTTATATAGTTCCATTGTTTTTCTCTTGATTTTCACTTGATTTGATTGGTAGTAGTATTTTCCATAATTCGGGTATGAGTGATGAATCATTCCTATTGCATGTGTTAGGTTTAGACTAGATATGGCTCTTAATACGTTTAATCCTACTCCAAAGATAATATGGTGGAGATATGTGAATGACACTTTCACACACAGTGTTAAAAACAGAACATATCTCTAACTTCTTGACACATATAAACTCACTAGTGGAGGGAACAAAATTCAAATTTGAATTAGAAAATGAACAAGGAGAATTAGTTATGGTGTTAGATTGTAAAATAAAACGAATACAAGAAGGCAAACTACACACTAGTGTTTATAAAAAGCCAATGCATTCTAATAGATATTTAGACTTTAATTCATCTCTTCCGTTAACTGTTAAGGCAGGCTTAGTTAAATGTTTAACAAACCGAGCAGTGGCACTAAGTAGCACAAAAAAGACCTAAATGATGAAATAAAACAGATAGAAGAAGCGTTGGTGTTGAATAACTATCCTATAGAATTCATTAGGAAGATCAGTAAAGGCCAAAAACAAAATAAAAATAATTGTGAAACTAGTAATAATAATATAAATAAGAGAGAATATAAGTCATCCACTGTTATACCATATAAAGAGGGGACATCTGAGACACTCCCTACGTAGGATTCTGAATAAAGTAGGAGTTAGGGTGGCACTTAAACCTACAAACTCACTCAGGTTGGACAAGCTCTGTAGGTTAAAGGACCCAGTTGACCCAATTAGACAAAAAAGTATAATTTACAAAATACCCTGAAATGACTGAGTAAGGTCAACTACATAGGTCAAACTAGTAGGTCAGGGGTAGTCAGATTGTCAGAACATATGAATTTAGTGTCTAAGGTAAGAATGGTTGACCCCACCTGAGAAGATAAGTAATTTGGAAAAAAGCTCAGCAATTGCACTGCATGCATGTATTAACACACAACCACACAATAGGGTGGGTGGAAGAGTGTTAAAATTCTAAAAAGTAATTTAGGTAGGTAGAGAGCGAGAGAGGTTGATTACTGAATCCTACCTGGTTCATCGAGTCTACACACAACCCAACACATGCAATAGGAATGATTCATCACTCATACCCGAATTATGGAAAATACTACTACCAATCAAATCAAGCGATGAAATGAAATAATGGAACTATATAAATGAAGTTAGGAAGTCGTGTGAGTAGTGACTTGATAGTGATTATGAGCAGTAATAAATTGTACTCGAAACGTGGTCATCAGTAAACATTATTGTATAACACTGTGGGGGGGGCTCAATTAACTACTAATCACATCGATCTACAATAATTAATTTTCGCATCCAATAACAAGACAAAAAAGAAAAGAAAAGATCAACTGTGAGGTAATATGTGATACGGAAATGTATGTGTATTGCAGAAATTACACTGTATTTATACGCAATGCACACGCGAACGCACACACGCACACATACACATTAGAAAAAAGACATCAGTGCGTGCGTGTGTATACAAAATGGAGCAGAGTGAAGCAGCAATTTAAGTCTGAAGTAGATTTTTATTTAACGCGATGCCTAAAAAGATCATCAAAAAAACTCAACACAAAGAAAGAAAGAAAGAAAGGAGACAAAGACAGAAATGAAGAAGATCAAGATGCACACGGCAGAGACTATGCAAAGTAAACATACACTCACACTCACACACACACACAATTAAATGATTATGACAGTCAAGAGGATTCATCAACTGATTCTACTGATGTTTCTTCTTTTTCTCCTTCTTCTGTTTGATTTGTTTCCTTATTATTATTATCATCATCGGCACCACCGTTTTCTTCAGGATCATCACCACCACCACCACCACCACGAGCATTGTCAACCCATAGACCACTATCCACGCATCGTTTCATATGATATTCCGCCTGTTGTGGATCCATACTACAGAGTACAGTTTTTAATAATTCAACATCTTTTTTCTCAAAACATTCTTGGAGATTCTATAAGGAAGCAAAAAAGTAATAAAATAATATAAAAATAATCTACTTTATTCCAATAACAGCAATACCTATAATACAAAATGAAATTCTCAGCATTTGTCACAATAACTTGCATCTGATTTACTCAAAATATACATAAAATTAAAAATTAAAACAAAATTAACCAGAGCAATTTGTCCACATTTACAAGATAAAGTCAAAAATGAGAATAATATTAATAACAGTGAGTTTGTTTCAAACAGTATTGCCAATTCAGTTTGGAAATTTTAGCATGTTTGAGTGGTATTGAGTTCACTCCAATTAGGAAGCCTACATAATTCCGTTGCATTTCCGCCTGGTAGATCTAGAAGCAGCTAAGCTAGAGGAGGCTATATGCTAGGACTATCAAGTGAAAAAACTCCACAATACCATATCTGTCACAGGTGTTATGTGGTGATGAGAAATCCATTAGGTATGACGCGATCAACTTACTGCGGCACTCTAACAAATAGTCCCATTAGTTTTTGTTTTTCTTTCCTCGTTACTATTACACTATTGTTCTTATAAATAAAATAAATATTAAATAAATTTTTGCTTTATTCCAAAAACAGTACAGCAAGGAATTTTCAGCATTTCAGTACAATATTGCATCTAATTTACTCAAAAACGACAAAAAAGAATTAAAAATACACATTACATAACAGTAATAAAACGATTGTTATAGCGGCTACATAGCAAAATACTGTATGCCATACGGAGAAAAAATATGCATAAAGTACAAAATTGTAGTAATAATAGTAATACCAATTAAAACAAAATAGCAGAGTAACAATTAAACGATAGAAAGTGTGACACCATAAAATACAGAAAGATGAACGATGAAAGGGTCAATTTACTGTGCTAATTACATAGTAACTTGTAAGTTTCACGTCTAACAGAGTCTTCGTCACATAAAGTACGCGCTAAATAGGGTATTGTAGAATTTCTATACTTAGTAGTACGAGCATATATATCTTTTTATATTGACTTCTCGTCCTACCTGATGAGATACAAGGGGACAGGTGTGAATAAAGGGGGTGCAGAGGGTCTGACATTATAGCCTTTGCCCATTTCGTACAGGAATTTATATGCCTCTCGACTATAGTGTTAGCGAGCTCATGCAGTGGCAGACCACAAGCTCTACTCACAGCATTTAATACTCTTCGTAATATGATATAATCTTTTTTGAGAAGCCCAGGAAAGATTAATGGAGAGCAATAGAGTACAATAGGTAAAATACAGGAGTTTAAAAATTGCAAAACTAAAGGTTGGTTGATACCGGATTGTCTTAACTTTTTAATATAGAAGGTAAGACGAAACATTTTCTTAGAGATAGATAAGATATGGGATGACCATGAAAGGTCAGAGGAAAAAACTAATCCAAGGTATTTAATGCTTGACTTGGTTTCAATTTCCGTGCCATCTATGCTACAGGGATCATGCGAGCTAACTAGTTCAAGTAAGTCACGTCGATGCTTGAAAGTAAAGTCAAGCGCCAGACATTTGGAAGGATTTAATATAAGACCATTTGACTTGGACCACTTGTTGATGTCCAACAGAAAGCTATTAAGTTTGGAGCTGTCAGACTCAGAAGTGATAGGCAGTGATACAGTCAGATCATCTGCATATCTGACAAAGCTAGTTTCGTTTGAATGAGGCAGGTCATGTAGGAAGAAAGAAAAAAGAAAAGGAGAGAGGACAGCACCTTGTGGAACACCAGATTTTGTAAGCGAGGTAGAAGAAGATTTGCCGTTATATACATATATATATATATATATATATATCTTCTATTACACATTAATTTTATACTTTATATCCTGTGGTGCATTGTTTAAAATGTAAACGCAACGCTGTTCTTTTTATTTTTTATTTATCTCCTTTTTTGGGTGTTACTTTTTGATTTTAAAATCTTTTAAAATTTATGAGGTAACTAGATGCAATATATATTGTGATGCACGCTGAAAATTCCATACCTGTACTATAAATACTGTTTGGAATAAAGCTGTTTATTATTATTATTATACGTGTGCGATCAACACTTTATCTCATTCCTTTGCATTCCATCCAAGTGGAACAACATAGAGTATCTTGCAGCTTGAGGCTTTGAAGCTGCAATAGCAGTGATGATCTTTTTTACGGGGGTGGGGTGGGGTAGGCGGTAGGGTAGCTATTCTTACGCCCAACCTTCCTAATTTTACACGGCTGACTCCTGGCTAAGTGTGATTTAGGAGTGGCATCGGACAGGAATCCAACGCCTGATTACTTGAGACGTGATTGGCGAGCATCCTACTATCATTGAGGCACTGATGCAACAACGATGAATACTGATTACTAACAAACTGCTATGTATATATTCACGTGGAAAAGGTCTTTGACAGTGTGTTGACGGGGAATTAATTTGGAAACTACTTCAACCCTATGCAGTGCAGTGCCCGAGTCTTTATCAACCTTATTCAACAACTGGCTATATGACAATGCTACATATCAAGTGATTCACAACGGGAAACTCAGCAAGGCGTTTGTAGTGCATACAGGAATAACACAAAGTTGTCCACTATCACCACCAATGACATTCCTAGATGTGGTGGACTGGATTATGTGTCAGACTGTGCAAAGGCAGCGAGAAGACAGGAGCACATTGAACCAATAAGGCGACTCTAGAAGATCTGGACTCCGTGGACGATTTATGTCCCATTTAGAAAAGAAAAAAACTCGAAGATCTACGAGCGAAAACCAATGGGGGGTTGGCGGAAGAGGCAGTGAGCCAGAGGATGTCAGGTAAGCATAGAGACAACGAAGGAAGGTGATGAAAATGCCAAATCAACCAACCAACCAACAACAACGACACCAAACGCTATCAACGGAATAAATTTAAAAAAGGTGGTTACTTCCTTCACTTATCTAAGAAGCATCATTTCAACAACGCTCTAAGGAAGGGCACGAATGAAGATGTCAACACCAAACAGAATCAGAAAGGAAACGTATATCACTTTTATCACTTTGAAATCACATTCGAAAATCTTCCGCACTCAACCAGAACAAAAACAACGTAATCCAAATTTTCAGCATCGATGTTAGTTAAATCAGTCAATTTTTCTTCTCTATGAGTCAGAGAATTGACGTTCACGTAGAAAAAGGCAATTACAACAGGCTATTGCAGACATTTATCAACAGCTGTCCGCATCGTTGGCTCAAATACTGAAAATCAAATGGCCAACCTGTCAGAAAGAATCAGCAACGAGAATCTCTTGGAATAAACCAACAATCGAGAACCTATTGCACAACAAGTATGCAGATGAAAATAGAGGTGGATCCAACACATGCTGAGGAGATCATCTCAAATGAAATCGATTTCAAGGCCATTATTTTTTGAGTGGAATCCGAGTGAGAAACGACGAGCAGGCCAAACGTGGGGCCTGTTAAGGAGGATCACAAAGAGTAGGACAAAGTGAAGATGTGTTTTTGAAGCCTTCTATGTTCCACTCGGAACCTAAGGGAACAATTACTATGTATGTATAATGCAGTCAGGTGACAGGTCACGGCGATTTGTCATCTGAACTGGTGGAGTCCGTCAGGGATGCCAGCCCACTATCCCTATTTCTATTCAATTTCATCATAGATGCACTAATGGACTTAACCCTACCTCACTTCAGAGACTCAGGGATTGACTTGCTACCAATAGGGAATAATCTCGTTGACTTACAATATGCAGACGATATAGTCCTCCCTGCTAGTGTAACAACAGAAGACAAGGGCTGGCAACAGATCGTTTTATTATGAAAATCAACACGTATTTATACATATTCCACATACATTATTATAGCTTATGCAAGTAGACAAGCGCAGTCATCTGATTGGTTGTTTATCAGAAGTAAGGCAGACAAACGCAGGCTTCTGATTGGTTGTTTCGGGATTCCTCGACAAATAGAGTTCTCTATCTGCGAATCATATTTTGCCACGTCAACTTTGCTGTGATTGGTTGTTGAACCAGCCTTGCTCTCACCACACTCGTCCCCCCGTCAAATACGTGCGACTGAAGTCGGCTTGATCTACTTGGTGCAGGCGTCATCGTTGGCTTGTCTCGCTGTATCCACTTCTGGAGCTCGCTGACGTTCACGCGCCTCTCACTGCTCGTCATTGCGATTGTGTCCGCGTAATCCCATCTCGAAGTGACCATATGTGGTCCTTCCCACTTTGGAAACTGTTTGCCTGACCCTGTCGAACATTCGTCAGTATTTCGTCTCACACATTCATATGCTGCTTTCATCCGACCTCCCAGCAGCGTCCCAAGTAGCAGCTCCATCGCTGACAGATCTTGAACGCCACTCAACTGCGCAGAAGCCTTGAAGTCCTGCCCGAAGATCCATATGTCTCCATCAAAAACAGCAGAGCATAGGCTTTCCATTTGTCGGTAGGCAGCGACACCAAATGTAACAACAGAAGACAAGGGCTGGCAACAGATCGTTTTATTATGAAAATCAACACGTATTTATACATATTCCACATACATTATTATAGCTTATGCAAGTAGACAAGCGCAGTCATCTGATTGGTTGTTTATCAGAAGTAAGGCAGACAAACGCAGGCTTCTGATTGGTTGTTTCGGGATTCCTCGACAAATAGAGTTCTCTATCTGCGAATCATATTTTGCCACGTCAACTTTGCTGTGATTGGTTGTTGAACCAGCCTTGCTCTCACCACACTAGGTGAAGACGCTGACAAAATGCAGAGTCTTCTGAACAACTTGAGCTGCAATCTACGAATGTTTCGCATGCGATTCGCTCCCGCCAAATGCAAGATGATGTTACAGGACTGGATTACACTGACTCCTAGATTAGAAATAGGAAGTGAAGTGGTAGAGCACGTTGACCGCCTCACTTATTTGGGAAGTACCATTAGCCAGTGCCAACGGGTTGATCTTTGACGAAATCTCAGAATGGATACAGAAGGTTAGTTTAACCTTCCTCGATGGACAGTGTTAGCTGACATAGAGTCAGGCTGAAAATAAGGGCTAGCCAGCGGCTGTCCAACCAAACACATGGCTTCCTCAGTCAATGAAATCCACAACAGTTAGTTTAAGCCACGTAACAGGATTTAGACTCCCTGACGGGTTGGGGTCTTCGGGATGGAAAACACCAATGAAGGCTGGAGATAACTGGTGATATGGCTTAAAAATCGTCGTTCTCACTGATGGCTGGCGCAGATGCATCCACTCCTTGTGACTTATAATACCCAATAAAACCATATTGTTCTTCTACATTACTATTCTTTTTAACTCATATCTCCGTTTACTGTCTCTATTTTGCATTTCTTTTTACTTTTTTCTTCTCTTGCTTTGTGTGCCACAAGGAAGGAATGTGGCGACTCCAGCTGCTACACATATCGATGCAAAGTTCTATGTTGAAACCAGTCAGTCAGTCATTATAGTATAGTAGTCAACATAAAGTGGATTAAGTTCAAGTATTTGTAACTCTAGATGACTAACAATCATAATTCCAGTATACTTTTCAATAAGTAAAATGTCTTGAACATTGTGTGGTGAGAGCAGGCTGCTGGACAATTGGTAGACATTAATTTACGTCAATGTTTATATCCCATATATTGGTCGTAAGATAATATGAATAAAGACTGATTCAACAAAACAACCACAGCAGACTTTGCGTAGGCAGATACAGTTAACATATAGATGATCTGACATTCAAGAAACAGTGAGAAACAACCAATCAGAAGACTGTATTTGTTTGCTTGAATAAGCTATGATAATGTACATGAAAATATATAAATACGTGTTGATTTCCTTAATAAACGATTTGTTGCCCGGCCCTTGTCTATGTTGCTACAACTGCAACGTGCAGCATTTTACTGAAGACTTCCCAGCACTCCGGGGGAACACCATCAAAGTGTCAGAAGTTATACACGATAATAGAAATTTTTACACACAATATAAATTAATACAATATGAATAAATACAAGGAGATGTTAAAACAAATTCAAGATCATTTAATCAACTATTTTAACTAACCGCTGGCAGTGATTCAAACACTTCAACTGGATCAAGACCACCTGGACCAAGACGTTTCTTTTTCTCTTCCTAGAAAAAGCAGAAGAAGTAAAAAGAACACATCAACTTGAAGGTAGAGGTTATTCAATTCACTTATGATGAATTGGAATGTCGGGAAGCAGGGGAACTTCCAATGTTAGCTTACAGCGTAAAAAGGAAAGAAGATGGGAAGTTAAACACACTAGTGTGTTTACAGGAAACCCACTGACACATTCAAACAGATATTTGGACTTCCGAACATCCCATCCTATGTCAGTGCAAATAGCATTGGTGAAATGCTTAAGTGACAGAGCACAAAATATAATCTAAGTAGTACACCAAGGAAAATCTAGGACAGGAAGTGATACACATTAAAAGAAGCCTTGAAAATTAATAATCACCCTGATAAATTAGTCAGGAAATTTGTAAGGAAATGTAAAAATAAAATAAATAATGATAATAGCGATAGTGACGATAATAATAATAATATTAATGACGACACCAACAATACGGAATCTAAATCATCAGTAGTAATTCCATACAAGGAAGGAACCTCGGAAACCACATTACGCAGAATTCTTAACAAGGCAGGAATATTAATGGCTGGAATTCAAACCACCCACAAACTCAATTAGAAACAAGCTTTGTCGGTTAAAGGATCAATCCTGTGGAGCCAATAAAACAAAACAATTTAGTTCATCTAATACCCTGTCTGCGATGATTGTCAGGACAAATACATAGGTCAAACTAGTAGAACAGAGTCAGTGCATCAGACTAGCCGAACTTAAAAACCTAGCAGCAAAAGCTAGACTAGTTGACCCGAATAAGATAATAAATCTGGAGAATAGTTCACCTATAGCTCTCACTGCATGCAATCACACACAACCATACAATAGGCTGGATTGGATAAGATGACAGTTTTAAAATCTAATGTCACAGAGTGGAGGGAGGGAGAGATTGATTGATCGAATCAACTGCAAACCAACACGTGTAATAGGAATGACTCAACACCTGTCCAGTTGGATATCTGGAAAATTCTACTACCCCGACGACGACAAATAGGAGAGGACAAAGGAAACTATAAAACTCAAATTTCAAAGTCGTGTGATTATAATTGATGGTGTGATTATGAACAATGAATTGTGTTCGAAGCATTGTCATCCATTAAATAATACTGTTTCACTCACTGTGGGATACATCTAATAAACAAACTAATATGGAAGAAGTAAAAAAGGAGAAATTGACAAAAACTCCATTAAACTGACCGAGATTGATGACATCCAGGGAGGGGGAAGAGTGTATATCACTCACTTAGTCAACCGGACTTTTAAATGCATGCTAACATCTACAATCTGATTACTTACTTACAATATCATAATAGAATAAGGGCAAAGTTCCATGTTAGAATTTAGTCAAGTCATTTCTGTATCAGTGTGTGCGTGTGTTTTGCCAAATAGAAATATTCTATTTTTTGTTGCTTAATACTATATACTACTGATTGATTGAAGCGAGTAGTTGCTTTTGATGTGGTTGTGTTCTGTGAACAGCTGGATAGTCAATTTGCGAAGCTTTCATCGCCCTACCTACTAGGCGACATCTTCAACGCATAATTCAATTTCAATTGAAGTGAGTTTTTAGATTTCTCCACGAGTTCACTATTAATCATCTCTCCTGGTGGATGACATTGGACATGATTGGTTGTTTTTGTGTGTTTCCACACCTTCTAGGTTACTTGTATTGTACTGGAACTGATTGTTTCCTTGACTTGAACTTTGACCCTTCGTGTGTGAGGTTTCTTTCTTATCAGTTAATAAATTTTGTCTATCTCGATGTGTCTATTGATTGATGACGATTCACTGGAATACCAGTCAGGCTTCTAAAAATTCTCTGGCTGGCAATCTTGTTGTTTCCTCTGTCTAATATTTGAACGCTGGTTGTCCCAGTCAAATTGATGTCCGTGGTTGTCTGTATGTATGTACATGTATGAACACGTCCAAGGTCACCCACCAGGAGAAATGACTAATAAACTCGCGGAGAAATCTAAAAGCTCACTTCAATCGAAATTGAAGTATGCACTGAAGATGTCGCCTAGTAGGACGGGTGATGAAAGCTTCGCAAATTAACTATCCAGCTGCTCAGAGAACACAACCACATCAAAATCAACCACGTGAGCTACAAATCTTCTCCATCATATCTAAATCTTGCGAGTAGTTGTATACTACACACCTCATTATATTAGACAGTTGGAGACAATCGGCAGCAAGTCCTACCTGACCTAGGTTTCGTGCTAGTTGACACTCATCTGTCAACAGGGTAGATTAACTGAGGTACTAGGCAAAGTCTGGGAATCAGAGACAGTGCCATCAGACTGGGGTAAGTCACTTCTTATACCGATATTCAAGAAGGGAAACAAGTCCTCGTGTGATAATCATAGGGGGATCAACCTAACGAACATAGTCTCTAAAATCCTAGGATCAGTAATCATGCATAGACTAAGCAGAACTCGGGAGGAACAGGCTAGGGAAAATCAAGCAGGCTTTAGACCAGGTAGAGGGTGCATAGATCATATCTTCACTCTTCGACAGATTCTAGAACATAGACACACTTTTCGGCGTCCAACAATTGTCATATTTCTTGACTTGAAGGCCGACCGAAAGCTGCTACCTTGACGTGGTGGTCGGGCTTGAACACCGCAATGACCTAATCAAGCTATACTGGCTGAGACTTATGTCTCTTGAGGTTCTACCATGCCAGGCAGGTTGTTTGGATAGCGGTTAAACAAAAAGCAGCTACCTCATCCAATACCATGATCCAAACAAATTCACAAAATTTCATGCCGGATCGGCCGTGGCCCGGATTAACAACGACCGCGCTTCCTGCTGCCGTGTCACAGGGCGGGAGTGATAAGTATGCTACTGAGGCACACCAAACAAAAAGAACGAACAAAAACAGGCCGCGTGTGACCGGCCTCAAGCAGTTGTCCCCTGGGCTCTGCGGTCACGCAACCAACTTCCACGGTGTGGGCAGCCGGGAAGTAACAATCGCCCTCACAATCCGAAACGCACACAAAACCTCTCTAATCCTCACTTATCTTTGTCTTCATCATCTCTATCATCTTGCCTTCCTTCCACTGATGCAACTCCTCTACTTGATGGCTCCTCACTCCCTCTTCACTCTGTGTCCACTAAAAACGACGGAAGCCAAAAAACCACCACCGATAGTCTCCTAAAGCCACGCCACCAATTTCATATAGGAGCATTTAATGTTAGGACACTTTGCCAAATAGGACAACAAGCATCACTAGCTAAGACCCTGGCATCTCGAGCCATTGATGTATGTTGTGTTTCAGAAACACGCATACAAGACCCAAGTGTGGTTATTCACCTAACCCCACCTGGCCAACAGGATGAATCTTCAAAATTCACCTTGAGGGTGTCAGGAGATGCCACAGCTAGTTCACGAGGATTAGCTGGCGTAGGGATAGCTCTGAGTACTAGGGCAGAAAAGACATTGCTTGACTGGATCCCGGTAGATAGCCGAATGTGTGCTGTCCGTCTGAACGGATCAGTAAGAAGGAGAAAGGACTGCACTACTCGCCGATGCCTTTTCGTAATCTCCGCCTACGCCCCCACTGACTGCAGTTCGGATGAAACGAAGGATGAGTTCTACCAAAAGCTGTCTAGTTTGGTGAGAAAGGCTAAACGCTCAGATATAGTCGTTCTAGCTGGTGACTTTAACGCTCAAGTAGGGAAATTGTGTCAATCTGAGAAGGATGTCGGTGGCACCTATGGAGTTCCGTGCCAGCGAACCGACAACGGTGACCGTCTCCTACAGTTCTGTTCAGATAATCATTTGTTTCTTGTAAGCACTAACTTTAAACACAAGGAGAGACACTGTTTAACCTGGCGACCCCCATCATCAAACCAACGCTGGACACAAATAGACCACATAGCAATAAGCTATCGTTGGCGTGGGTCGGTAGGAGATTGTCGCTCCTTCTGGAACACGTGTGTAGATACCGATCACGCACTGGTCCGGGCTCGTGTGTGCTTACGACTGAACGGACGTAGGAAACAGCTGGCGGTAAAACCATCACGTCCCCAGCTCGATCAGGAAACTAAATCCCTATTTGAGGAAGAACTAGCTAAACGCATATCTGAATTCGACAGCTGTGCTCACCCTGGAGAAGCCTGGAAGAATATTCAGTCAGCTATAGATACAGCTGTAAAAGCTGTGAATAAGGCAAATCCAAAGGTGAGTAAAAACCACTGGATTTCGACTGCCTCATCCGAACTGATAGATGCTAGAAGACTTATTCCGGCGAGCTCCGAATTCAATGAGGAGCGAAAGCTGCACAAAAGGAAACTTACTAAAAGTCTCCGCAAGGACCGTGAACAGTGGTGGGTGACAAAGGCGAAAGAGATGGAAAAAGCATTGGCGATAGGCAACACTAGGCAACTCTTTAGACTCATCACAGAATCGGGCGGGAGAAGGCAATTCATAAGTGAGACTATTTCTGAGAAAAATGGCTCCTTAATTAGCTCTCAGGATAGACGCCTTGAACGCTGGAAAGAACACTTTGAGGAACAATTTAACTTGCCTACAGCCACACTGAACCTCCCCGCCATCCACCACGTACCCGAATGGGATATAGACACTGGTCCGCCGTCTGTAGGTGAGGTTACAAAAGCTATCAGTAATTTGAAACGAGGCAAAGCGGCAGGACCCGACGGAATTATTCCGGAGGTGTTTAAATATGGGGGTGACATACTAGTTTGTAGATTAACTGAGGTACTAGGCAAAGTCTGGGAATCAGAGACAGTACCATCAGACTGGGGTAAGTCACTTATTATACCGATATTCAAGAAGGGAAACAAGTCCTCGTGTGATAATCATAGGGGGATCAGCCTAACGAACATAGTCTCTAAAATCCTAGGCTCAGTAATCATGCATAGACTAAGCAGAACTCGGGAGGAACAGACAAGGGAAAATCAAGCAGGCTTTAGACCAGGTAGAGGGTGCATAGATCATATCTTCACTCTTCGACAGATTCTAGAACATAGACACACTTTTCGGCGTCCAACAATTGTCATATTTCTTGACTTGAAGGCGGCCTTCGACTCCGTGGATCGAAAGGTACTATGGCAATGTCTGACTGTGAAGGGAGTGCCAAGAAAGTACATTGCACTAATCAAGGCACTCTATTCAAACTCACGTAGTCGTGTAAGGGCTTATGGGGAATTGTCATCTGAATTGGTAACAACCAGTGGTGTCCGACAGGGATGTCCACTTTCCCCATTTCTGTTTAACTTCATCATAGATATGCTAATGGAAGTATCCTTAACTGAACGTAGTGACTTAGGAATCGACTTGTTACCAGGGAATAATCTTATGGACTTAGAATATGCAGATGACATAGTCCTGTTAGGGGAGGATGCTGACAAAATGCAGAGTCTTCTGAACACCTTGAGCAGCAATCTTCGTATGTTTGGCATGCGATTCGCCCCTGCAAAATGTAAGATGCTGCTACAGGACTGGACCACGTCAACTCCTAACTTAGTGATAGGGAGTGAAGTGATAGAACATGTTGACCACTTCACCTATTTGGGAAGTTGTATTAGCACCAACGGACTGATTGGCGATGAAATCTCAGCACGGATCCGAAAAGCTCGAGCTGCTTTCGCTGACTTACACCATCTCTGGCGTAGGCGTGACATCCGGTTATCAACCAAGGGACGTGTGTACTGCTCATCAGTTCGCTCCGTCCTTCTCTATGGCTCTGAAACATGGCCAATACGCGTTGAAGACATGAAAAGGTTGACTGCTTTCGATCATAGATGTCTGCGATCTCTGTCTCACGTTAGGTGGTATAAATAAGGTAAGTAATGTTGACGTTAGGCGTAGAGTGTTGGGCAAAGAGGGAAAATCAATCGACGAGGCTATAAAGTTACATAGACTGAGATGGCTAGGTCACGTGCTGCGCATGCCTAACCACCGCCCTCGGGACTCTAGGAATCAATGGCTGGAGACAATAGGTGACATGGCTCAAAATCGTTGTCAATGGCTAGCGCAGATGTATTCAGTCTCTGTAATCTTTCATATTCCTTTCTACCATTACCCATTCTGTTTCACTCGTATACTTGTCAGACTGTATTGATTCTCTTCACTCATCTTCTCGTCTACCTCTGTATGCTATTTGGAACGTGGCAACTCGAACTGGTGCACTTCGGTGCCAAGTTCTGTGTTGAATCCAGACACACAGTCAACAGGGTGTATTTGCAACCTTGAAGGATTTCATGTCCCTTCTGAGATTTGAACCTGTATAACCCCCAGTGGTGGTGCAGTCAGAGACGTCACTACTGAGTTGTTCGAGCTCGCAATCGGCCTTCTGTAGAACTACACTAGATAGATATTGTGATTCGTCACAAGTAAGCAGACATAGGATTGTATTATTATTATATCCTTTAATTCCTAGAGGAATATAGGGCGACTTCAGCTGCACATCTCCATTGCCTTCGGTCTTCTGCCAACGTTTTCAACCCGCTCCAAGTCTGCCCACATGATTTCATTTCCTCTTCACATGACCTCCTCCAAGTCAACCCAACCTCGCACTGACGACCAACTCGTCGCTTCCCTTTCGGCCAGGTTCCACTCGAGCAATGGCTTGTCTAGTGATGTCACTCACTTGATGGCGTGTTTCCTCAGAGTATGGCCAACCAATCCATCTCCATTTCTTCCTACCTATTTGTTTCACAATCGGTTCCCGCTGAGTTGGTTCGCTCATTTCCAGAGATCCCTCACTATGGCTGATCTTTTCTGGCCGGTCATCTAATCTTGAGTATTGAGCGAAGACAACTGTTGATAAAGTTTGTTTGAGATGCACTTTATGACTCGCCAAGTCTCTGATCCGCATAGAAGCACTGACTTTACATTGGAGTTCAAAATCCGGATCTTATTTTTGATTCTGAGTGCTGTTGACTTCCACACAGACTTAAGAGTAATGAAAGCTTGCCTTGCTTTTTCGATTCTGGCTTTGATATCCAGATTGAAAACAGCTAGCACACGGCGGTCAAACCAAAGCATGGTTTCATCAGTCAATGAAATCCACAAGCCAGTCAGCCACGTAGGGAAATGTAGACTTCATGACTGGTTGGGGTCCTCGACACGGTAAAAACCAATGAAGGCTGGAGACATTTGATGATATGGCGCAAACTGATCGTTCTTCATGGTTGGCACAGATGCATCCACTCCTTGTGACTTATGATTTCCAATGGAACTATATTGTTCTTCATTATTACTATTCTTTTTGTCTCACACCTCTGTTTACTGTCTCTGTTGTGCATTTCTTCTACTTTCTACTCTTACTTTGTGTGCTACAAGAAGGGAATGTGGCGATTCGACTGCTGCATATCTGTGCAAAGTTCTATGTCGCAAACAGACAGATAGACACTAGTTAGTCACAAGTATCAGGACTTCGGGGCCTGTGTTTGGTGCAGACTGAATTCTGCCAGTCAAGTATGCAATGTGGCCAGCATGCCACAGGGTGGCTTGCCGTCACAATGCACTTTGAATTGTTGATATTAGATGTTTGGAGGCAATCGGCAGGATGCCTCAGACCTAGATATGCCTTGCTGACGAGTGCCAAGTAGCCTGACAACTGGGTCCAAGAATTCCTATCGACTGCCTTCAACCATCTAATAACAGCCGTGTAAGACAGGACTCCAGGTGAACATAGACAAGGCGGAGGTTATGAAAATAAACAACTAACAACAACAAAATCCAGCCCCAATCACCATCAACGGGAGAGATTTGAAAGAGGTTAATTCATTCACTTCATTATCAAGGGAGCATTGTCTCAACTACAGGAAGTCAAAACGGACGAGGATGTCAAATCGAGCGAGAATCAGGTGGTGGGCGAAAAACACATTCATCATCAACCTGAAACCAATCCGGAAATCTTCGTCACTCAGCCAGAATCAACAACAAAATTCGGTTGGATTTAATTCAATACAAACAACGTCAAGTCAGTCAGTTCTTCTATACGGATCAGACAGAAACTTGGCGGGCGGGTCACAAAGAATATTTCCACCAACACCCTGTTGCAGACCTTTATCAACAACAACAACTGTCTTCGCTGGATCTATACTGAAGATCAATCAGATGGCCGGGCCGGAAAGAATCACCAACTATTGGAAACTATGGGAACAGACAAAGAAACAAAACAAGAATCAATCGCCAACCAACAAATATGCAGGAGAAAGTGGACAGAAGGGTGGATTGGGCACTGCTCGCTAAGGAGGCCGGCCGGCTGGGTGACATCGTGCAAGCGTCAGGCCATTACTCGAATGGAACCAGTCCGAAAGGGAAGCGGCGAGTGGGTCGTCAGTTCAAGGGTGGGTGACATGGAGGAGATAGTGTGAAGAGGAGTTGAAAGAGTATGAGGTAACTGACATGGATGCAGGTGAAGCAAGTGGAGACGTGCGGCTAAAGCCCTATGTTCCACTAGGAACCCAATGGAACAATAATAATAGTAATAATAATAATAATACTTTCTACCCACCACCACCTCCAACCCAACAATCTTGTTGATGTTCACGGGGTGCATATCATGATGGCCAGTCAGTCAGCCACGCAGCCAACATGGTGGCCCAACATTACAAAGCTAACCAATAGAATTCAGTCTGCATCAAAACAAAGAACTGAACACATACACATTAACACCAACAAAATCACCCTTACCTCTTCAAGTTGCATCATAGCTTCTTCTAGTCGAACTTTAGCGCGTGCACGAATTCTCTCTCGGAATGCTGAAAGTTCATCATTAAAAGCTTTTTGATATTCTGGTTCTGGATTTATAAATCTAAATAATAGAGAAAAAGACAAAAACGAAAATAACGAATAGTTTCTTTTGCAGACATAAACATTAACGCATTTTGCAAAAAATTAACCTGATAACACACATTTGATTGACTGACTGACTGGTTTTCTCAACATAGAACTTTGCGCACAGATGTCCAGCAGTTCAAGTTTTGTGTTTCCTAGTTTCCAACAATCTCCAAAATGTTAGCTGATATAGGGGTCAGGTTGGAAAAGAGCTAGCCAGCGGCAGTCAAACCAAAACATGGCTACCCCAGTCAATGAAATCTACAACAGTTAGTTTTAGCCACCTAAGAAGGTGCAGACGTCATGGTTGGGGTCCTCGGGACGGTAAAAAACTAATGAAGGCTGGAAACAATCGGTAATAGGGCTGAAAATCGTTCTCGATGGCTGGCATAGATGCGTCCACACGCTGTGACTTATAATACCTAATGAAACTATATTGTTCTTCGTGATTAGTATTCCTTTGTCTCATCTCACACCTCTGTTTACTGTCTCTATTATGCATTTCTTCTACTTTCTTCTATTGCTTTGTGCGCTACATGGAGTGTGGCGACTTGAACTGGTGCACCGGTGCAAAGTTCTATGTCGAAAGAAGATAGACAGACAACGATCTCCAACTGGTGTTGGTACGTCGTGACGAAATCTACTTTGAAAGATATATATATTCACGTTATTACGGCAGGCAGTTGACGAGGCCTACGGCGATTAAGGTAATGGTATTATTATTTTATATTCCTTTTGCGCTTCGATTACAACATGGGGATCTTGGAACTTGACCTTCGAATTCTCAGGAGCAGTGTGTTTTTTTAAAAGCACAGTGGGGTTGCTAACCTCACGCTAAACCATTCCTCTTTTTCGGAATTATAACCAGTTAAGAGAGGTAAAAAGGTGTGCGCCAGCCGAGAATCAAACCCCGTACCAAGTGTGCATGGTTGGATAGTGGCTCTACCGCTGAACCACCGACGGACATTCACATAATGATACACCACCCACTGAATGGGTATTGGTCTCCAGAAGGACCGAACACACACGTAACGCCACCGCTTGTGAGACAAGACCAGCATCATGTAGTATCATCCTGTGGTACAACTACTCAAGAGCCCTCTCCTCTTAGTCTGTCTGTCTGTCTGTTTGCGACGTAGAACTTTGCACATATGTGCAGCATTCGAATAGCCACATTCCCTTCTTGTAGCACACAAAGTAAGAGTAGGAAGTAGAAGAAATGCACAACAGAGACAGTAAACAGAGGTGTGAGACAAAAAGAATAGTAATAATGAAGAACATTGGAAATCATAAGTCACAAGGAGTGGATGCATCTGCGCCAGCCATCAATGAGAACGATTTTGAGCCATATCACGAATTATCTCCAGTCATTGGTTTTTACTGTCCCAAAGACCCCAACCATGACGTCTACACCTTCCTATGTGGCTAGCTTAAACTAACTGCTCTGGATTTCATTGACTGGTGCCATGTTTAGGTTTGACCGCCGCTGGCTAACTCTTTTCCAGCCTGACCCTATGTCAGCTAACATTGCCCATTGTCGAGGAAGGCGATGACTAGATATACGTAACATATCTCCTAACCATCTCAATCTGTGTAACTTCACAGCCTAGTCGATTGATTTGATTTCCACTCCTCACCTACCTCACTAACACTCGACGCCTAACCTCAATATTGCTCACCCTATTATACCACTTCACACGGGAAATAGAGCGCTGGCACCTATGATTAAAGACAGCTAGTCTTTTTATGTCTTTCACTCTCAATGGCCAGGTCTCAAGGGTAGCCATAAAGGAAGCCGGAGTGGACCGCTGAGCAGTACACCCGCCCTTTGGTCTTCCACGGCGTGGGTAGCCGGAAAGTAACAACCGCCCACACACTTCCAAAAGCACACGAAGCCTTCCTGAGCATTATTCTCCTTTACTCACATCACCTTCCTCATCTTGCTTCTCTACTACAGTTAGATAGCCCTCTCCGTCGGTGGACCACCCACCAAATAGCATTTAATAATATCATCGATGGCTTTTGTTGGCTGGAAAGTGATGTGTCGACCTCTACCTCTACGGCATATTTAAAAATAATCGTACAAATTTTTTTATTTTAAAACTTACTTGGCAAAGAATGGTCGAATACACGCTCTTGGATCACACTTGAGTGATTTCGCCAATTCAAGCATAAATTGCATCACTATACACTGATGAGATACATGATCCATAAGTTCAAATTTCTAAAAATCAAGAAAATAACATGAGGAAAAAAATTAAAAATACACTTTATACGTAAATAATAATATTTTTGGATATTTAATTCACCGAGTGTCTTAAAGAACTCCTGCTGAGGTGTACCCTGAATGTTCAATTCTCTTTCAACAACGAAATATCTTGCTGAAAGGATGGTATAGCTATGGGCTCACCACTAGGCCCATTGCTTGCAGATTTCTTCATGGCAAAACTCGAAAACACATGCCTGAAGAAAATGATCGATACCTTCGAAATCTATACGAGATACAGCGACGACACTTTCATTATCGTCAACAATGAAGAGAATATAGACGCCATCCTGAAGTCATTTAACAACTCTGCCACCCCGTGATTCAGTTCAAGCTGGAGAAAGAGACCAACTCTAAAATATCCTTTCTTGACGTCCAACTAACAAGACGAGAACAGGATGGAACACTGAAAAGATCTATCTACAGAAAGTCGACATGGAATGGACAGCTTACTAACTTTCACAGTTGGGTACCCCTATACACCAAACGAAACCTGATCCGCTCACTCAGCTACAGAGTCCGCAGAATTTGTACCCCGGACACCATAGAACATGAGCTGGACAATCTCAAGAGAATCCTCGTCGAGAATTGTTATCCAGAATGACTTATTGCAAAATCTATGAATCCTAGACCACAAAAGCCGCCTATGCTTAGGGCCCCGAGAAAAATAATCTACATGAACCCTCAATTCAGTGGAGATATATCTGCGGAAACACTAAAAAGTCGACTGTCGCGCTCACTCAAGAAGACCTTCTTCGCAGCTGAACTACGACTAATTTTCTCCACAAAACCTGTGATTCATGTGAACGTGAAGGATAAGCTACCACTGCTGACCTCATCAATGTGTATTTATCAATTCACATACTCATGTGGAGCCAGGTATGTTGGCCGTACCCAGCGTTCGCTTTTCAGGCGTATCAACGAACACTTACCAACATGGTTTTACAAAGGAGAAAAACGATGTCCCTGCAGCTCCATCTTAGAACACCTGATAGAATCCGGACACCAAGCTGCACCCCAAACAAACTTCAAAGTCGTCTACGGAGTTAGAAGTAGTCTTCCTAAAGGTGTACGAATCAGACTTCTTCAAACTGCAGACGCAATGGCGATTCACTTGCTAAGGCCTGAACTCTGCATACAGATGACACCCGTTCAATCACTACACTTGCAATGGGCTTAATCTATCTTATTAACCGACAAGTAAATTCTACTTAATCCTTTTTTTTCTGTCGCTTTATTAGTATTAGTTTGTCTTCTCAATTGTAATATTTTACATTTTCAACTCTCTTGTTCTCTACCCACACCCGATTTAATTTCTACACCTCACTACCACTGTTACTGACTTGACTTGACCAACGCTCAATTTCAAGTCGTTTATGTTATGTCATCCAACTTATTTGCTCACTTTTAGTCCTAATTTAAGTGGAATTATTCTCTACCCCACCACCTCTACTTAGTCTCTACTTGTAATTACCTCTGTTGCTATCCTGACCTAAGTTGAAACATTTTAGTCAATTATATCACGTCATCTAACTTACTAACTAACTCAATCTTACTTTAGTTGCTGTCTGATTAACCTTGTTTCTATATTAGATCATTCTTATATTACCTGATCAATTATCTAAACTTGACGAACCTCATGTACACACACACACACACAAATAATTATATATAAATGCGATTGTACAGCTACGTGAATAAATTCACCGAAAGGACTAGTCTTATGGAGATAAAACTAAAATTTCAAAGTCGTGTGATTATAATTGATGATATGATTATGAACAGCAATAAATTTTGTTCGAAACGTCATTCAGTAAATAATACTGTTTCACTGTGTGATACATCTAATAAACAAACTAATATGGAATTCGCCGAAAGGAGTCTCTTCGCTGAACGTCTTCTCTTTTTCATATTTAATTCAGTCTGGAATTTCCTGTGGATTGATTGGACCGAAGTGCTTGGCCTCCCTCCCTCAGGTTAACACATGTCAACTCCTTGGGCTGCAAATGCTTCAACGATGATATGAACACAGGAATTAATCATGAAATAACATCGGTTAGAGAACCATCGGAAAACCAACTGAGAGTAATGGACAGCCAACTGTTTCGTCAGCCTAGTCTCAGGACTCTTTACCAGTACGCAGCCAAACCGCGGGTTTATAACCCAGGACCTTCTGGTTACAAGGCGAGCTAGCTCGTAGACCATTAAGCCACTGGGACCCGCCAATACAATGGATGGCTAGTTCATGAATTCCAACTTCTGCCACTTCAAACCGAAATGAGTTCACGATGAAATCCTGAAATCAATCGAATCCCTGCAAACCAACACTTGAATATTTGATTACTTAAAGTAAATTGGTGGATGGTGGATTAACAATGGATTCCATTACCGGGTTCAAGCCTCCTCCTCAGTGGGAACACCACATCATTCACTCACTCACTGGGGAATGCAGACACATCCAGTGACGAGTCGTAAAAAAAGGATGAAATGTGCATCCTCGATTCCACTGCTAATATCACCAACCACCAATTTACTTTAGATATTTTGGGATAATTATTACTCTTTAGGAAAAACAAATAATATATACATTATACAAGATCTACAGAGGACAACCAATAAGTTACCAGAAGAAGCAGGACTTCAAGTGAACGTAGAGAAGACAGAAGGGATGAAGACACCTAGCCACCACCACCAACAACAACAAAAACAACAAGCATCAATCACCATTAGCTACAGAAATCCTAAGGAAATCACCTCTTTCACTTACCTGGCTATGGGCAGCGGCACATATGACGATGCTTCGGCCAGGATTGGAACAGCATAACAGACCTTACCATTACTGTACTCAGCCTAAGCAAAAAGAACTGAGATTTCGAACACTAATGTCAAGCCAGACAGTACTCCTATGATGTAGCTTAGAGATTTAGCCAGCGTATCACGAAAGGTGGTTTCCAAAAGGCTACTCTGCAGACTTTTGACAACAGCTGCCACTGAAGGTTCCATACTGAAAACCAGGTGACCGGTCAGGAAGGATAAGTGACAAGAGGTACTTTAGGTAGGAAACAACCAAAGAACCTATTGCCTAACAAATACGTCAGAAGGGAATGGAATGGAGATGTCATCGACATACTGCTAAGGAGACCGTTGGGTGATATCAGGCACCAGACAAACTCTCAACTGGAATGGAAATAATTACTGATCATCTTAAAAATATTTTGTAGGTGACATTTTAGTCGACAGCTCAATGTTAGAAGACTATCGATAACATGCAGGAGATTTTATGATTTCAGCAAAGATATCTTTTCGGCGATTTCATTCTCAAAAGCAGCTGTACAATCGCATTTATATAGATTAGTTTACATGGATACAATTCTTATTTGTTTAATTCCACAGAGTAACGTAGGTGATAATAATTTTCAACTTGATATGAATGTGCATTTACCAGTTCACCTGCTCTTGCGGAGCTAGGTACATAGGTCGTTCTATGCGGATCTTATCAAAACGTGTTAGAGAACATCATCCAACATGGCTGCAATGAGGCACTGGTTAAATCAGAAGCGCAATAACTGAACATCTCGTCAATACCTGTCACAGAATCTCAACCGACTCATCATTTAGAGTTATTTACAAAGTAAACAAAAATCTACCAAAGGTAGTCAGTGTGTTTCTGACTTCTTTGTACTGCAGAAGCTCTCGCCAAATGCATCGAAAAGCCGGAGCTATGTGTTCAAAAGAAACTAGTCCTTTACAACTACCATGAACCTAGTTCGGTGTGTTCCCTTCAGTTTTTTTGTTTTGTTATCTGTGTGTGTAATTTTCTCTCCTTATCTTCATTCAATTCGTCCTATTTTTCACCTATAAAATCAGTTATTTTAAGTTTGTTTCCATGCTCCCCCTGATCACACTTGTAATCCGTTTAGGATAACCATTTTGATTTCAATTTGTTCCCATGCTCATTTTTTTCATACCTGTAATTCGTCCTATCCCTGCGTCTCAAAGCCTCCTGTAATTCACATCAAGTTGAAAATAATTGTTACCTTTTATTCGCTTTGCAAATTATTTCTCCAGTTATCAAATATTAATTTTGCAAACGTTGTAACTGTTTTCTAATCCTATGCAATCCTGTCTCTAAGCCCCTTGTAATCTATATTCCTACCTTCAAACTTTCATATCAAGTTGAAAATTATTATCACCTACGTTACTCTATGGAATTAAACAAATAAGAATTATATCCATGTAAACTAATCTATATAAATGCGATTGTACAGCTGCTTTTGAGAATGAAATCGCCGAAAAGATATCTTTGCTGAACTTCTTGTTCTTTTCAATTTAATGTTCTAATGGGTATTTTCCACGATTTTATGATTTGTGTTTGGCTGAAGCATTGTCAGCATACTGGGAAACATTCTTCTGCATGGGATTTAAATATTCACTGTATAAATCTGAAATCCACACTGGTTAGTCAAATGTATTGATAAACTTATGTATACTAATTAGTCTTAACGAGGACTTTATTTAGTACAAGGAACATGACGACCTCTTCTGTAAGTAAACAACTTCGACATTATTATGGTTAGTGGCAAAATCTCGGAAATGCGTTTCATCCCATTTTGGACTCGTCAGTCGAATCCACCTGTCATTTTAAAAATGAGAAGAAACAGTAAACCCCTGTGAGATAGCCTATAGTGAGTGGGTAACTCAATTACTCGAAACCGATCATTCACATGTACCAGATTAAGATCCACTGTATCATCGTATAAGGCTCGATGTAACCAGATTGAAATAAGTGGACTTTTTATTGCCCAGATCTCCTAAAGACGATAGGATAGTACGCGACTTAGTGGTAATGTAAATACTTCCCGCCCTGATGATGTTTACCTCATCCCTCCTATACACTGCCTGCCAATTCATCACGGATTTTTTTTCTCCCATATGTACCTGACTTTTATGCATCTAGA